TTCAAACCCAAGGCTTGGACTAGTTTTTCCTGAAATGTTCAACAGAGCTTTACTCAGACAGCTGTGTTTGTTGTGTTGTCTCAGGTGGAGCTCGCTCTGTGGGACACTGCAGGTCAGGAGGATTACGACCGTCTCAGACCTCTCTCATATCCAGACACAGACGTCATTCTCATGTGCTTCTCCATCGACAGCCCCGACAGCTTAGGTATGACTTCTCAACTCGTTTGTTTCCTGGATTTCTCCGCTCCAAGTAAACCGCAATTCTCCTTGCTCCTCACGTAGAGAATATTCCCGAGAAATGGACTCCAGAGGTGAAGCATTTCTGTCCCAACGTGCCCATAATCCTGGTGGGAAATAAAAAAGATCTGCGGAACGATGAGCACACCCGCAGAGAGCTGGCCAAGATGAAACAGGTCGGTGAAGCTTTCACTTCATAAAGCTTCTGCTTGTCCAAATTTCAAATGTGTTCTACTCAGTGGGAACGGTTCAAACAACACATCGCCGTTCAATCGAAGCGCAGCAACAAAAAACATTTCACACTATGTGTCATGGATTATTGAAGTAATTTCATACAAAAGAGAAAATACCACATGAACAAAATTGTGATACTACACACACAGTGCAGAGTTGAAGTGTGGAGTCACATTATGTGCTTGCCTGGTGTAGAGTACGCCACTGGAAAGGGAGAAACCAGACAAAAGTCTACAAATCGTAGCTCCACAACTCTCCGAATGAAATGAACAGTATTTAAAATGTATGTTTTACTTTAATGGCTTAAAGCACGATGAACTGCCCGCCTCTAAAGAAAGTAAAGATCGACTCCAAAGCGTGGCTACATCAGTGTCAGATGGCAGCATCTGTTTCTCGAGCCAAAGTAGACTTGATGGGAGACGACTGGGTAGGAAAGCAAATGATCAAAAAGCCAGGCTGGAATTTGCCACAAAGCTTTTGGTAGAAAGTCCTTTGGACAGATTAGATAAAACAGGAGCTTCTTGGCAAGATATCAGCTCTGTGTTCACAGATATTACCAAAAAAAAAAAGAGTCCCTGCTCTGAAACATGGAGTAGGCTTGGTTATGCTCTGGGGCTGCTTTGCTGCCACAGGGTGTCTTGAATCTGCAGGGTGCAATGAAATCTCAAGACCAAGGAAAACTCCGCAGAGAGAAATGTGTGGCCTGGTGTCAGAAAGCTTGGTCTCAGTCACAGGTCACAGGTCATGGGTATTCCATCAGGATAATGACCACAAACATACAGCTAGAAATAACTAAGAACGGATGAGACCAAAAACATTGGACTGTTCTGAATTATCCGTCTGTGAACCCTGATGTAAATCCTGTTGAACATCTGTCAAAGAATCTGAACATGCCGTCTTCAGACCTGAGACAGCTGAAGCAGTTTGTCGATGAGGAGTGGCTCAGAGTTCATGTGGACGGGGGCACAAGTCTCTCTGGAAGCAGTAGAGGTTGTTTGATTGCAGCGATTCCAGGTGCCATCATTTTTGTCCAAGCTGGTTTCATTAGTTATCTTTTTTTTATTAGTTTGTTGTTTTATAATTATTTTGTTTATTTTGTTGGTTAATTTTCAGTACATTATAACTTATTGTCTACAATTTTAAGGTATTCCAAAGCCATTTGGAGCCTTTTGTTCATTTCGTTCACCCACGTCTGTATATGCCGACACTGTACACCTTTTAGTAGACCTTAGCTTTTCTAATGCTCAAAGGATTCCAGGTCAGAATTAGGGTGTTTAATAAACAAACATGACACTAAATGTGTGTTCACACCAGTCGTGTTTAGTCCACCTTAAAGTCTAGAAAGTTCGGTTCATTTGGGGAGGTGTGAATGCACAATTAACCTCTGATGAGGAACAACAGAGCTAAACTCTGGCCAAATGCATATGTGGATGAAAGTGGATCAAAGACCACTCCAAAATTAGGAAGCTAACTACAGGAAGTGAGGGGCATTGTGGGTAAATACAACCAAAACAAACGCCTCGCGCTAGCAGGGGAAATGGCTCATGGTATTTTACCCAAGGGAAAAAAAAGAAAAACTCCAACTGCTAAAATCCAACGCCACTCAATTTCTCTTTACGTTTCATGACGGTAGAAGTTGCGCTCGGTGTTTGCTTTCTTCAGAGGTTTTCATGTTGTTTCCTTCAGTGGACTTTAGTGCAGCAGGGGTGCAAAAGGCTTTTCAGAGGGGCTGGTTTGTTTGACAAAGTGCAGTGTGAAAGTGAACCACACCAGCTGAACATGAAACACATTTGCAATTAACAGGTGAAAACTCCCTAAAAATGGTTTCCTAAATACTGGTAACTGCAGTGTGCCAAGTAACTTAATACTTTGATTCTTTTTGCTTTGACTGAATCAAATTTTTGTTTTTCTTCTTCATGTTTTATCCAACCAGGAACCAGTGAAGACGGAGGAGGGCAGGGACATGTCAAACCGGATCAATGCCTCTGGTTACCTGGAGTGCTCAGCCAAGACAAAAGATGGTGTGAGGGATGTTTTTGAGATGGCCACCAGAGCGGCGCTGCAGGCCAAGAAAAGAGGCAGGAAGAGTGGCTGCGCTCTGCTATAGAGAGTCCACTGCAGAGTCCGTGGTGGGAAGGGAAAGGCCAAGCATTCCTCCTGGGTCTGCTTTGTCACCAGAGCAGGCAGACTTCATTTGCTCTAACTGAGATGAGTCAAAAATATGTCGATGTCAGCCAAAGGGAAAAATTAACCAAGATTTTAAAAAAAAATAGAAAAAGAAAAAAGAAAGGGAGAATTATGAACGTAAGGCTACATGTTTAGATATAAATTCACCATAAACATAAAAGAGAATATAAAAGAACACAGAGAAGGGAACATCTCAGATTGTTTCTGATTTTATTTGGCTAAGTTTTTTTTTTTTTTTGAAAGAAAGTATCTTAATATGACATAAAGCATCTATAAAGTAGGTCACCATAAAACTCCCACCTGATCTGTATGGGTTCATTTCGTATTCTCTAGGTTTCTTTATTTGGGCCTGAATTTCTGTTTTATAAAACTGTATTTGCTGGCTTTGCATTTGGGCTTCAACACATAACCATGTTAATTCAGTTAGTTGAAATGATCTCGGCTACACAGTCACTTTACAGGAATAAAAATATGTTTTTATTCCTGTAGAGTGCAAAGTATTAAATGATCTTTTTGTTTTGTTCCTGTGTAAACACACAGCTCTTAGTTCAGCCGTTATGTTGTTTAGTGCAGAATCACATTCAGTTATTCAGCTAGAATTTACAGATTGTCCCTAGATGCCATGCAAGCCTGTGTTTCTCAGAGTCAATTATAAACCCCCAAATTCTCCAAATGAAAGTCACACACACATATATCTTTTAGTTATTACTGAGATATTTCTATGTGTATATTTTCTGGAAAAGGAGAAATAATTCTAGATATATCAAAACTAGTAAGCACATACTCTGAACTGTGTAGTGACAGCTTTTTGAATACTCCTCCGCTTCTTTTTCTGTATTTAAAGGTGTCTAAAAATGGCAAATATCATCTAACTCGTGTATTAACCTGTTTATTTTGCTTGAGAACTAAATTGAATGGAATATTAAGACGTTGGGAGCAGTTTTAAGATGAGCCGGAGAGGCAGAGCTCTCCACGCTCTCTGGTCTCCTCCCATGTTGTCTCGGTGCTTTCGGTAAAATCTGTCTCCACAGTCGGCTGTTGCATTCTGCAGAAGCACGGCTGTTTGTCAAATCACTTAGTTGTTACCTTTGTAGGCTTTTCATTTGCAACAGAACGACTTTCAACTTTGACAAACCCAGAAACGGGCAAACAAACAAACAAACAAACAGACAAACAAAAAAAAAAACCCTGTTGGTGTTTCTCAGGATCGTGTTGCACTGATGTGACTCCTGCTGTTCAGTGACAGATTCTGCTGAATTGCTGAAACTCATCTACTTTGTCGTTCTCCCGTTATTTAAAGTTGATCTTTTTAATTTCAGCTTACGTGTTTCCTGTCTGCAAGCTAACTCGCCGCCTCTTGGGTTTTCTGTTACTTTATGTGATATTCTACTGGCTTACCTTGTACTTTGCACAAATATTAAACATTAGGTCAGTGTTGTGTACACTCTGGAAACATTCTGAATTGCACACAGCTCCTGAGGGATTTGTAAGACAGTTGTTCCTTTATACACAAAACCTTTCTTGAAACTTCTGCAGATTTTAATGTATTTTAAAGGAAATAAAGTCAACAGAGAAAGGCGCTGCGGCTGGTTCTCGTTTGATTTGTCAACAAGACGATTTCAAGTGAAGTGCTTCACAGTCAAAGATATTAATGTTTTCTAAAACGGTAACAGAGCTCTCTCATAAAAAGCGGATCAAGATGTGGGAAATCAGCTGAAGTGGTCTAGTTATTACCAGTTCCTGTTTTCCAGCGATTTAAGTGAAGACCACATTATTTGTTTACATCCAAACATGACAAACTGGCAAAAAACAAAGACCTGAAAAGATGTACAAATATGAAGTAAAATATTTTTCTATAAATATTTTCCACCCATTTGTCCCTGTGCCTTACAGAATATCCATGTTGAGAGGAGGCAACAGGTTTGATCCAGTTTTGAAGTAGAAAATGAAAGTGGCGTGATTGCCTTTACAGTGTCAAAATTGAAAGGAAATACTTTAAATCTGTGATATTGGTAAATATCAGTTATCAGCCCCAATTTTCATGTTTGTGCATCCATATTTAATAGGCTATCAAACAATTGTTGTGAAGCAGCTCATTGCAATACAGAGATTCCCTCATAAAACTTGCTAAGCCTGGTGATGGGGCACTGAGGCAGTTCACCAGCAGGCTGCCATGGTTCTGTATTAAAAAATTCTGTATTGACAGGAAATGTGAAGATGTACCTGGTTTACGTTACTGGAAGACCTTGTTGACTATGCTTATCACACATATATAGTCTTAAAAACAACAAACAGCTGGCTTTTAAACAGCTGGAACCAAAAAAACAAAAAACAGGAGCTCATTTCATTCAGATAATGTTAAACATTTATGATTTACAGTAACTTAAGAAGGCTGTCTGAAAAGAAGGACGAGTCATTTCAGAGATGAGGAGTGCTTTAAGAGATGACAAGAAGAAAAGGCTGAGGAGGAGAAAGGGGAGCTGGGTGAAGTCTGGTCCATAGGAGATCTTCCTCAGGTTAGGTTCTGCACCTAAGCGTTCCACCTTTAATTCCTTGTCGTACAGATTTGGAAGAATCCCTTAAATAATGAGCAAAATCCCAACTTCAATACAGCTTTCACCCATTATATAAACATCTTTGAGCACTGAGATTGTCCAGTAAAATTCTAACTAGAACCCATCTGATATTTTCTCTTTGTACGAAAGACTTCTGAGAGTTGAGGTAGACCGGATCCATCCCAGTTCTCTCGCCCAGTCTGCTGTTGTCAAGTGACCAACTCCCCTAAATGCTCGGCTCTCGGTTACTGGAATCCAAGATGGCTTCTGCATTTACGGATGACGTGAAAACTGCATCGTTGGTCTACAATGTTTGATGGAGTCCTGTTACAAACTCCTGATAGTACGGTTCTGAAATGAGAAGCATCGTCATGTGTCAAATATGTGGCTGGTTTCATTCATCGCAGCGGCCATTAACAGCCACAAACCTGTGTCCGGCTCGATGAGCGAGTGTCGAATGAGAAAGTCCAGGATGACCATGGCAGAGTTGGGCTTGAAGTCATCAGTGGCCAGCAGTCCCTTCACCTGAAACAAGACAAAGTGAGCTGAAGAGGATCTGGGAACTCTGGGAACGCTGGTAAATTGAAGACCTGACCTTCTCTATGGGCAGCAGGTAGAAATCCTGAACTTCTCCATCGCCTACGGAGGGCACAAAGTCCAGAGGAAGTTCTAAATCGAAGACAAACTGGCTCTCTGGGAACACCCCCTCCTCGTCCTCATAGGTGTAGCTGCCGTGGGCATTCCAGTCAAAAGAGAGGGAGATTTTAAATGTCTGGGAACCTTCATGGAAGTAAGCTACTTGGATGATAAAAAAGGGAGAAATCCTGGCAGGAATACAGGATGTGTTTCTCAATGCTATGATGTAATCAAACTGACCCAGAATAGTTTAATCAAGTCAATTAATTCAGCTATATTCAGGATTTGCATGTAAACAGGCAAACATGTTTTTCTCTCAGAAAGACACCAGGTTGCCCACTGCGCATTGGTGTGTGTGCGTGTTTTTGAGTATGAATGGGACTGGAGTGTAAAGCACTTTGAATGCAGTCTTCTAGCTGATCACCAATCTTTAAAAAGCTTCAGCTCCCAATTTGTATTTTGGCCCATGCAGATTGTTTTGTAAAAGTCACTAAATATAGTGACTAAGTTTGCAAAAATGGGGTCACTGTAGTTCACTGTAGTAGTGACCTCTGTCAGTCAGCCCCTCTCACTGTCAGCGGCTGATCTTCAGACCTTTGTGGAAGTGAATAAGATCAGTTTTTTGTGTTTTGGCCGATCATCACTCACCCAAAATTAAGGACTCTTCTTTAGTTTTTATTGGGGAAATCAGTCAAAGGGATGATGACATGAACTGATAACTCCTCTAGTTTACTGCCAATAATCAGTAATGATCCAACATTTAGACATAGCTACTCCTTTAACAATTTTTTTTCTGGGATTACTTGGAGAATAAAGCTGACCTTACAGTCGATACTGGACACGCCTTCGCAGCGATGTCTGCTGGGATACAAGCTTCCTCCGCACACTCTTTAATCAGAGTGTGTTTGATTCCAACATCAGCAGCCAGACCACCAGCCGCCTGGGGAAAGATACGAAGAGACTACTCAGTAGAAATTGAACGAGAGGAAAACGGCTTATTAATGAGATTCTAAAGTCTCTTTATCTCTATGCAAGATCTTAGTTAGTAACTGAAATATTTCCATTGAGAGTCTGTGGCGTGTTAGAATTATTTTTCAGGAGTTGGTACAGAAATGTTGAGTTTAGGTTGGGATAAAAGAAATTTCCCAAATTTGAGCTACTTATTTTTTCCAAGACAAAATAATCAAGACCATAACCGTCACTATTCAAGTCAAATCCTCTCATCTTCAAACTTTGGCTCTGGATTTAGCATTAGGACTTAGTTATTATTACTTAATATGACTTAAATATTGACAAGCTTTTGGATCCAGCCATATTGATTGCCTTTTAAGTCTCCTTCTGCACCCACCATGTTGTCCAGCAGTCCAGGATAGGTCTGCTTGGTGATGGACCGTCGGGCTAGCCACATGCTGATCTCCCCGCTGCCATTCACGGTGTATCCATTAATATGAACTCCATACCGTTTAACACCAAAAAGACCTGCAGAACAAGAGCGGAGTCAGGTCATGCAGCAGCTGCAGGGTCTAAACCTGGGTGTGCTGAAACGTACTTGTGGCTGCTCTTTCCATCCACATCAGAGGCGCGTCACAGAATCTCGGTTTCACACTGTACCTCTGAAAAATATGACTGCTTTAGATTTGATTGTGTTATAAGGTGAATCAAACTAAGACTTTCCTGTTTAAGGTCACATAGGATGAGCCAGTGTGTTTGCTAAATGCCAAGATAATAAGATGAGTTTGTGTCCTAAAAATAAACATGTTTTGGTGTGAAAAAGTCCTGTACTGACATAGACTAAACAGGCGCTCATAGAAGACAAAGCTATTACTCCAAAAGCAACAGAAAAGCCATAATGCAATTCCTCAATACACCCAGGGTTTTCCCCAGCGTATTACAAGCCTGGCGGGCCACCAGGCTTTACTTGCAGCCTGCTTAGCATTGCTTATTTATTTAAGTTTTTTTTTTCTTTATAGTTGGTGTTCGGGTATTAATCTTCCAATCTTTCAATAATACATAATTATCAAATGATATTTTCAAATTTCCTGTCAACTTTAAACATTTTTTAACTCAGAAATGTTTGACCAAAGTCATTCAGTTTAAAAAGCAATTCTACTAAATACAGAGGAAGTATATGCAAACTTATCTATTTAAAGATAGTTCTCACATTATTCCAATAATATGCAAATATAAATGGTACGGGCAATTCTGTCTGACCTAAAAGTTTACTCTGATTTAAAACTGGACCATGTGGGGGGAAAAATAGGTTACATACTTATGTAAATTTATGGTTTCAAATGGACATTTGGATTTTTTATATTTTAGACAGGTGAAAGTCATCACAGATCATATCAATTATCATTCCACATGTACTTGTAACTAAGAAACAACTTAGTTATTTCTTGTTTTATTCCAGTTTATAAAATGGTGATTATAAAATCCTCACGTGCTACTGCAATAATAATCAAGGTGTGTGAAGTCTGACCTCATCCCTCCATCCTCTGAGGCAGATCAGAGAGCTCTCATGTCTGAGGGCCTCTACAACATCATTCACCGCCTCTGACCTCTTCTCGTAGCAGTCGAGGCTGGGACAGAGGGAAACAGCGCCCTTTTGTGGGGGAAGGAACACGTCCGTGTATGGCGTGAGCAGTGAGGCTACATGGGGAGGAATCCAGCCAACCTGGGATCCGTCTATCTCAAACCTGAAGCAGCTGAACCTACTGGAACCTGTGAAAACAGCTCTTTAAAAACGGACCCGTGTCGAAGAAGTGAATGTGTGGCGCTTCACTTGAATACCTGCTGAATAAAAGTTGTTCATTCGCCGAAGGAGCTGCACTATTCTTTCGGACCAGGCGCTGGAAGCCATATTAAACCATATGTCAACATGTGTTACGTCAACAATCAGCTGTGCAGTGCGCATGTGCAGATGTGTTGGAGAAGCATACAGACTTTTCTTCTTCTTTTTCTTATGGCGATTGACAAGCAACGTATCAAATGGATTGCATTACCGCCATCTAGTGGAGTGGAGTGTGGAATAGGATGCTTTCGACTCGACTTGGGGACGTCTGGTGAACAAAGACTGGTGATGCATGAATGCACCACAAGGGGGCGGGGGTAGAGAAAACTATCAAAAGCTCAACAGAAGAAGAATAGAGGCGGAAGAGGCGAATGTTTACAAAGAAAAGAAAACCGCTCAGTGGTATATGAGTAGACTAATATGAGTTTAAAGATTCTCGTCCCAACATTGAAGCGGCAGACATTATTAGATTTCATTATTTCATAGAAATATAATCAAATAAACGGGATATCTGTCCTGTCTTGTTTTGGTACATTTTAAATCTAATTGGAGTGTTTGTGGTGGATAACAGTTTTCATCTTCTGGTGGAAGCAGGCAAAGACTGAAGGTAAGATTCCCATTTGTTCCGAGCTTAGTGGCATCTGGAGAGAGGAGTACAGTTGCGGTGATAAATATTTAAAATTAATAATAAAGTGGTGCTGAAGTTGGCATCTGATTCACAGCTGATTCACCGGACTAAAGGACCATTCCGCTACGTCTAGCCACGGTAAAACCTCACTTCATAGAATGTAGCTTTACACTAATTACATAGTTTAGGAAACTTTTATTTTATTGGAGACCGCTTTACGTGGTTCTGCTTAAAACTACATCGCAACTACACATCATAATTATTCGGCACCAATGATAGACTAAAAAACACACCCTTTATTATATTTGTGAAAATAAAAGGACTGACTATTGTTAAACTTTTTTCCTGACCTTTTCCCTCTATTTTCCTCTATCTCCACTCACATTTCTTCCCTCTTTCACTACAGAAGTAGTTCTCATGAAAATAATATATATTTTTAAGCAACTAACATTTCTGGTTATTTAAAAAAAAAATATATATAATATATTTTATTAAAACTTCAATTTTTAAATATTGACACTAACCACATTCCTATTAACTCCAAGCTCCATTCAGTAGTTAGCAGCCCTGTTTAATCCATGAAACATTCAGTGACAAGATGTCCACAGAAAGCAATATAGGAAAGTAAAACCACCTCTGTGGTTTTCCACATTTTCTACACCTCTCCTGCTTCCATTCTGGGGCGCAGGTCAATGACGATGACGACTGTCTCCATTCTGCTCTAGTTTTGGTTTCAGACATCCGTCCATAACTTCGTCAGCATGGCAGAGATGAGTGAGGTGGTCATCGTCACCCTTCCAGAAGTCGTGTCCAACCAGCTTCCCTCTGTGGTGGAGGAGGATAAGGCTGTGCTGGTAGCCACCGAGCTGGCTCCTCAGGCTGGGTAACGAGCCTGTGTGACGTGAGAATGTGATTTCGACTGTCCCATCTTTTACAGTGGTCAATATTCTTCATTATCCGCTTGGTAAAATTTAGCAAAATGCTGTGAAGCTGCTTAATCTTTTCATGCAGCAGGATAATCTCAGACTTAAGCATTTTGAAACAAATTCAACCTTTAATAAAAGTAAATTTAGTGGGAATAGAAAGTGTGTTGGGTTAAATAATTGGGTTTACAAAATTACTACAGGCACAGCTACTGGTTCCCATAGCAACCCTGTCTGTTTCGGTGGGGTATAAACATGGTTCATCCACTGGGTAGGCTGGTAGAGGTGTGAGACCAGGTGGGTAAAGAATCTGCTGCAGAGCAGCAGCGGGTCTCCATGATGTAACGATAGGAAGTGATGTCACAAAATGACAGCTCTGTCCGAGCATTACAAAATCGGGACAAAGATTTAGATTTTTCTGCAACAGACAGGCCAGGTGTGAACAAAATAAAAGGTGAATATGTGGAAAAGCACCTTACAGTTAGGCATGCTGTGGGCCTGTTTATGTTTGAACCTTGTCAGAGTGCAAGGCACCATCGATGCTGAAATATCGGTAGATTTTAGATGTAAATGTTGATCAGTTCCACCAGAAAACCTAAAATAACATCATAAAGTTCAGCTGAATAATGATTCAAAAAGTGCCAAACAAGAAGCTGTCTGGATGTGGACGGTTTGATGACATAAAGCCCTTGAAAAGCAACTGAATTGTTTGTGTGAATTCTGCTTAGTGTTTGACATATATCTGAAGAAGTCTCTCTGAGGTAGCAGAATCTTTTTGCAGACTTTCTGCTGTCTTCCAGGGAGGACATCCTCACCGTAACGCCAGTGGACGCAGAAACCGAGGCCACAGCTGACTCCATGTCGAAGGAGGAGGCAGTCATTGGTAAAAACGAGCTGCGCTGAGTCGCGGGAAGAATGAGCTGGTGGCACATAGCTTCTGGGTCTCTTCCTGTTCAGAGGTTTTGTGAAATAAAATATTATTTACTTCTGTTGTCTCCGTCTCTGCAGTGAAGCTTTCTGAGGAGGTGGACGTGGAGGCCGACGTCTTCTACCCGATCACCTGTGGAGACGCCAAGGCCACGCTGGTGTGGAAGAAGTTTGTCTGTCCTGGGATCAACGTGAAGTGTGTGCAGGTGCTCCGCTGGCTCATACGGAATCACATTTGAGCTCACTCACCACAACAAACTTTTTACACATCCGTTTTTCTCCTTTTAGTTCACTGATCAACTCATCAGCCCCAAAGAGTTTGTGTGTTTAGCAGGAAAATCCACCTTAAAGGACTGGAAGAGAGCTATCCGCCTCAACGGCACCATGCTCAGGTTGGGAATGCTGGTCTGGACTTTCATTGGTGGCATGTTTGAAATGTCTGAACATGTTTCTGTGATTTACACATGAATTGATAACTGAGCATGTCTAAAAGACAGCAGGACTGCAGAAGTCATAGCTTAGTTTTTAGCTTAAACCGCACATTTAATGAAGGATGCAATGGTGGTAAAAATGCTGAAGGGCTAATAGAGGAGCCAAGTTGTAATGACTTTCTGAAGGCGGAGTTTCAGAAAGAGCAGCCATTTTTAAAGAGAGACATGTTCAGTTTCAAGGCGTTAAATTACAAAATCAAATTTCTAAGTCATATTTGATATATACAGCATTTTTATAACAAATGGAGTGTAACATAGTTACTTGTTTGTGCTATTAAATGGCACAAACAAGTAACAAGGAAAATAAATAATGCTGCCCCTTTAAGATGAAGGGCGATGAAATGTTTTCCATGTTAATAATAAAAATTGATAGTTTTAAAGACTACGCCATCATTTCATACATTAGTAATTTACAGTTGCACCACAGGGTGGCGCTGTTCCCCCAGTCAGTGAAGACCCTGCCGTTTCTCTTCCTGTCCCAGGAAGATCATGGACTCCGGTGAGCTGGACTTCTATCAACACGGTAAGGTGTGCTCCAACACCTGCCGCAGCACCAAAATCGACCTGGTGGGAACCAAGGTGTCGGTCAGCTGCGACCCGCCCGCCGACCTGCTGTCTGCCTCTGCCTCTTCAGCTGACTGTGAGTTCCTCAGCCTGAACCATCAACTGGTGTCTGAGCTCATCCAGCGGTCTGTGGGTGGAGCGGCGGGTCAGATTCTGGACAATTAAAGCAATTCTTTATATGTGGGTGGAACCGGATTCCTCCTCATTGATTTCAAAGACTCATAGCCACGTATTGAAATACCATCGTAACATTATTAGGATTTTATTGGGATGAGAGTTTGAAACGTCTCTGACAAAAAGTCTGAAACTAATAGAGATGTATTGAGAACAAATACTTTTTTATAACATTGTTTGTGAATGTTCACGTATAAACTGTGGAAAGCTTCACTGCCTCATCCTCTCTAAACCCATCTACTCTGTGTCGCAGTGAACGGAGCAGCTGTCTCATTACCAGATGTGACAGAGGAACCCTCAGAGTGGGTCACGACGATCGGAGGTGATCATCAGCTCCTGGACCCGCCCCCCCCCACTGCCAGTCGTCCCAGTATAACCCAGTGGTAACATGGTGTGTGTGTCTGGTCTGCAGAGGACTCTGTGGTGTTCTGGCGGGCCGTGAAGGAGGCGGGCCTTTTGGAGGAAGTGGTGGAGGACTTCCAGAAAGAGGTGCAGGAGATGTTGAAGGGGCTGCAGGAGCGAGTATGTGATCCGCCGGTGGAGGTCAAAGGTCGGAAGCGCACACAGCTGCTGTTGGCTCTCCTGGAAGCTGATTTCTGAGCTGGTGCGTCACCCTCCTCTGCTTTGTTCCTCAGACGCTGTTCTGCTTAACAACATAGTGCAGAACTTCGGCATGCTGGACCTGGTGAAGAGGGTTCTGGCCAGCCACAAGAGCCAGATGGACCGCTACAGAGAGCAGTACACCCGCAGCCTGGCGGGTGAGTTATCTCTGTCCCTCTTCCACTCCCAGCAGTCAGCCGTAACTGATGATGATGAAGGTCAGACCCCTTTCAGCAGATGGCTCCACTAGGTCTGTTTTTGGTCGAGGCTCTTAGCATGTAGCAGCAGCTGGCTTTGTGAAACCTTTATTAGCAAGCAGAGCGATGACACATAAAGTTGTTCACTGGGTCTTATCGCATCTCAAGAGAGGTTTTGATGCATTTCTCTTAACAGAAACTTCATCAGCTCTTTAGCTTTCTCAGCTGCAGCTTTACAACTCAGAGCTTTAGCTCCATCTGCAGCTTTAGCTCCACTCTGTTTTGGTTAAGAAGTATGTTTTAGGTCTTAGTCCATTAAAGGTGCACTATGTTAGGGTAGGTGAGATTTGCTGGTGGTCATAATGTTTTGCCTGACTGGGTCTGTCTCCCTCTGCAGCTCTGGAGCAGCAATGTGATGAGCACAGGAAGCGAGCCAAAGAGCTGAAGAGTAAATCTCAGCACCTCAACAACGTCCTGATGAACTTGACCCCGGCGCCGTCCCCGCCGGCAGCCAAACGACCCCGGCTGACCCGGGCCGTCTCTGGCCCTGCTGCGGTCAACGCCACGCCCACTCAGATCGCCCTGCCGCTCGGCCAGCTGAGTGGTCTCACGGTGGCCGGGGCCCAGGCGGGCAGCTACACC